GAAACATCCACGCATGTATCGTGCGCCAGGTCCGCATTCGAGCCTGTGTTCATTCCATCATGCGAGCCGTTACTTGGGCCGTTGCCAACTCTCACGAAAATTCACAGTTGAAGCTGGTGGTGGTGGAGGTTGATTCCTGGTCAGGCAGCTCTCTTTCGCCCTTCATCCTCTCGCTCTAGGTAGACATGCGTAGGAACGAAATAGAAGATTACAAAACTGTAAACATCGTCTTCAGATGGACATGGCACTCCTGGCTGTGATAGCGTTGTGACGAGAACAGTACAGTACCACAAATTATATAGGGGCATGAACATGAAAAGACCGCCACATGCAAAAATTGTAGAAAATGTGAGAGCAGCCATCATCATCGACTAAATTATCAGAGAATAGGGACACTTGGACAAAAGCTCTGCAATCGACCTCCAGTAAATCTCCATCGCACAGTGCCTGCATTTCAATGACCAAATTACAGTAACAACGGTTAGCAACTGCGAAGAGCTGTTGATGAACACAAGAGCGTACTGAACAGAGACAAGAGCGTTTAATCTGTCCATCTTGGTAAAGCTGATGCAAGATTTTGAGAGAACAGGAAATTGAGGAAATTGAGAATGTGGTCACATCTCGACAATCTTGCATGATCGCAACACCGATAAACGCCGATACACTAACTGAAATGTTAAGTCGAAAAGATTTATGCATTATCAATAGAGCCTCGATTCTTTACACCTTTAAGTGAACCCACAACGTTTTCAAGTCTCTGGATGCGTATGAATGGAGAGCGTTAAAATTATGGAAGGCGAGCGTCGACTATGAGCAGTCGCGGTATTATGAACATACTAACGAAACGTAGCTTTTGACCTTAGCGTTTGCAATCACAGATCACCCTTTACAAAGTTTTCAGTTCAACGGTTTTAGGCAACAGACAAACTCGATGCACCGATGTAGTAGTGCTGAAAGGTACGCATCGATTGGTCCTCTATCAGTCCATGTATACATACCTCCAGGCATGCACATTTCGACTGATAGAGGACCAATCGATACATACCTTTCAGCACTACACGGACAGAGGCTCATCGCACAGCTTGTTTCAATGAGCTGAAACGTGCATGGATCCTTTTGTCACTCACTTAGCTTTGTGACGCTGGAGGTCAGCCACTGAAGGGTCTTGTTCTCCAAGGCGTAGCCAACGAAACCGGAGTGTCGTGAGCGATACGACTGTTCACGACGGCACGCCTGTGTCTACAAGCTCGAACTTTAGACATTTTGAAAGTATTTACAACAGAAATCGGTTCGCAGCTGCTGTACCGAATAGGATGTACTACAGTAAAGTGGAGGGGGATGAGTGAACACAGACGAGCGAGCTCCGGAACACTCCGGTTCAGTCACCCCCTGCTGACAACATGGTCAAGATCTTGTAGAAGAAAACGTTTCAGCGACTGAACACAAACAGGACAAATCTATGCACGTCTTAA